GTCATAGGGTATAAGTTAAATTCATTGTTTCTTTGTGACTTTCTGTCTTGATGACCTGTCTAGTGCTTTCAGTGGAGTATTAAAGTCTCTCACTATTATTTGTTGCCATCTATCTCATTTCTCAGGTCTTGTAGTAATTGTTTTATGAATTTGTGGGCTCCGCTGTCAGGTGCTGATATGACTTGGTTGTGTCCCCACCCAACTCTCATCCTGAATTGTAACTCCCATGGTTCCCACATGTCGTGGGAGGAACTCGGTGGGAGATGATTGAATTGTGGGAGTGGATCTTTTCTGTGCTGTTCTCGTGAGAGTGAATGAGTCTCATGAGATCTGATGGTTTTTAAAATGGGTGTTTCCCTGCACAAGTTCTTCTTCTCTTGTCTGCTGCCATGTGAGATATGCCTTTCACCTTCTGTCATGATTGTGAGATCAACCCAGCCATGTGGAGCTGTGAGTCCATTAAATCTCTTTTTCTCTCCAGTCTCAGGTATGTCTTTATCAGCAGTGTGAAAATGGACTAGTACAGGTGCATATACATTTAGGAATGTGATATTTTCCTGTTGGACTAGTCCTTTCATTATTATATAATGACCCTCTTTGTCTTTTTTTAACTGCTGGTGCTTTAAGGTGTATTTTGTCTGATGTAAGAGTAGCTATTTCTGCTCACTTTTGGTGTCTATTTGCATGGAATATTTTTTTTCCATCCCTTTACCTTAAGTTTATGTGAGTCCTTATGTGTTAAGTGAGTCTCCTAAAGAGCAGACACTTAGTTGGTGAATTCTTATCATTCTGCCATTCTGTAACTTTTAAGTGGAACATTTAGGCCATTCACATTCAATGTTAGTACTGAGATGTGAGGTACTATTCTATTCATTGTGCTATTTGTTGCCTGAATACCTTGTTTGTGTTTTTTTCTTTTCATTGTGTTATTGTTACATAGGTCCTGTGAGACCTATGCTTTGAGCAGGTTCTATTTTGGTGTATTTCAAGGATTTGTTTTAAGACTTGGAGCTCCTTTTAGCAGTTCTTGTAGTGTTGGCTTGGTAGTGGTGAATTCTCTTAGCATTTATTTGTCTGTAAAAGACTGTATCTTTCCTTCATTTATCAAGCTTAGTTTTGCTGGATACAAAATTCTTGTCTGATAATAATTGCTTCCTTTAAGGAGGCTAAAAATAGGACCCCAATCCCTTCTAGCTATAGGGTTTATGCTGAGAAATCTACGGTTACTTTGATAGATTTTCCTTTATAGGTTACCTGACGCTTTTGCATCATGGCTTTTAAGATTATTTCATTCATCTAGACTTTAGATAACCTGACCATTTACCTAGGCAATGATATTTTTGTGATGAATTTCCCAGGTGTTCTTTGAGTTTCTTGTATTTGAAGGTCTAGATCTCTAGCAAGGCTGGGAAAGTGTTCCTTAATTATTCCCTCAAATATATTTTCCAAGCTTTTAGATTTCTCTTCTTCCTCAGAAATACCAATTTTTCTTAGGTTTGGACACTTAACATAGTCACAAACTTCTTGGAGACTTTGTCCATTTTTAAAAAATTATTCTCTTTTTTTTTTTTTTTTTTTGTCTTTGACAGATTGGGTTAATTAGAAAGCCTTGTCTTCAAGCTCTGAAGTTTTATCTTCTGTTTGTTTGATTCTATTGTTGAGACTTTCCAGTGCATTTTGCACTGGACATCTCTAATTGTGTCTTTAATTTCCAGAAGTTGTGATTGTTTTCTATTTATGCTATCTGTTTCACTAAAGACTTTTCTTTTCTATCCCGAATCATGGTTTTTTGTTTTGTTTTGTTTTGTTTATTTCTTAAGTTGGAGTTCACTTTTCTCTTATGCCTCCTTGATTAGCTTAATAATCAATCTTCTGAATTCTTTTTCTGGCAATTCAGAGATTTCATCTGGGTTTGGATCCATTGCTGGTGAGCTGGTGTGATCTTTGGGGGTGTTAAAGAACCTTATTTTGTCATATTACCAGAATTCTTTTTCTGGTTTCTTCTCATTTGGGTAGACTATGTCAGAGAAAAGGTCTTGGACTCAATGGCTCCTGTTCAAATTCTTTTGTCCTACCTTGTCCTACAAGGTGCTCCCTTGATGTGGTGTTCTCGCCCTTCCCCTAGGAATGGGGCTTCCTGAGAGCCAAACTGCAGTGATTGTTTTTGCTCTTCTGGGTTTAGCCACTCAGTGAAGCTACATGGCTCTGTGCTTGTACTGGGGAGTGTCTGCAAGGAGTCCTGTGATATGCTTCATCTTCAGTTCTTTCAGCCATGGATACCAGTACCTGCTATGGTGGAGGTAGCAGGGGAGTGAAATGGACTCTGTGGGGGTCCTTGGTTGTATTTTTGTTCAGTGTGCTGGTTTTGTGTTAGTGGACCTCCAACCAGGATGTAGTAATTTCAAGAGTGCATCAGCTGTGGTACTCTAGGGAGTACCTCTAGGGAGGTTGCAAACTTGTCCTAGGGTCACCTGGTTAAGTATTCATGTTTCTCAGGCAGTGGGCAGGGCCATAGAGTTCCTGAGAGATATGTCCTTTGTCTTTGGTAACCAGGACTGGTTGAGAAAAACCACCAGGTTGGGGCAGGGATAGGCTTGTTTGAGCTCAGACTCTCCTTAAGAGAGGCTTGCGATGGCTGCTATGGGGGATGGGGGTGTGGTTCCCAGGCCAATGGAGTTATGTTCCCAGAGGGATTATGGCTGCCTCTGCTGAGTCATACAGGTCACCAGGGAAGTGGGGGAAAGCTGCCAGGCACAGGCCTCACCCCACTCCCACACAGCTCACAATTCTAAAAGCCAGTCTCACTCCCACCATGCCCCGCAAAAAGCACTGACTCTATTACCAGGCAGCCAGAGATCAGGGCTGAGAACTAGCCCCAGACCACCAGCCTCTCCACTGAGAAAGCAAACGGACACACAGTTTTTCAGCATCTCAGGGAGACTACAGCAGCAATCCAGTTCCTTCAAATGGCTTGTGGATTATCTTAGCTTTCCTGGTATCTTCCTGTGGAAGTTCTTGGAGCAAAAGTTCACGATGTGAGTCACTACACGTTGCTTTGTCTGTCCAAGCCAGAGCTGCAAGCTAGTCCTACCTCCTATCCACCACTAGAAATTTTGTTAAGGGAAAAATCTGAAGAATTATAAAATGAAAAGTTCATTTAGGGGAGTTTGGGAATTCTTTCCAGTCTGAGAAACAGTCTCAGATTTCAGACCTCAGCCTGTATATAGATCTGTTATTTCACAGGTAACCAAGTCACCCTTTTCTGAGTTACTGGTGCCCAATAAGTAATACTGAATATTAAGGGGTTTTGTTGTTGTTGTTGTTGTTGTTGTTGTTGTTTTAAACTATATATAACTGACCCTAAAGACTCTCAAGCCTTCTTTGGAGAATTGAGAGCTGCTCTACTGTTACTCCAATAAAACTGCATAGTGGGTTGGCATTTGGATTGATTGGATTTAGGTTGGTGCTACAGTCCTGCAAAAACTAAAACATGTCAAATTATGAAACTGTAGTCACTTAAGAATCTGAACTGGAATTTTATGCTTCCACATGTTCATCATGAGAATTTTCAGATTTACAATTTGTAGACTTAATCATTGTAAATACCTATGCATTCAACAGCTCACCTCTAATGGATGCAGAGACACTTAACTAAAGGGACAATTTTTTCCCCCTGCAAAAGGTGGCTCTACTGTTATGGGCGGGAAACATGGACAATAAATTATTTCTGCTAAAGAAAGGGTGTTGAAATCTAAAGCCCAATTTGATCTCTTGATGCCTTCTATATTTTGCAAGCCTATATTCAACTGTCATTGCAGTTGTTACTACCTTAGTACACAACATAAGTGATGACATGTAACCCTTTGTGAATTAATAGTGTATGCAAATACTAGGAGCTTCAATTTCTTTTCTCATTAGTGTTTGTTATTCAAATAAAATAATCTTGAGGGCTTATTGGTATAAGTAGATATAGAAATAATCTTTTTAACTATTTCTAACTAATTATTTTACAGATAAATAAAGTGAGGCCTATGGTTAAAAAGCAAATGAATAAAAAAGGCAGAACTTACACTCTTGTTCTTGAACTTTTTACTGATGGTCTTTCTACTATTATACACTGATTCCCTTTTTGTAAATAAAAGTATCTTTTAGCCTCAAGTTTTTCCAATATTATACACTTAGGAATACAGGGTTTTATTTAATCACCAAAGTCTATGGCATTTTAGCAAAACATCCTAACAATATTTCAGCTAGACTACTTGAAAATATAATTCATTATTTTGAAGATGGTAAAGCACAGGTATTATAAATGACTCCTCATGAATATTTGTGACTTCGACAGCAATTTCTTGCATATATATATATATATACACACACACATACACACACCCCTACACACACACACACACACTCCTACAAACACATCTTTCAGGAATGCCATCCCTTATATAAAGATGCATATAAATGTGGGTATGCACACACATACACACATATATCTACACACACACAGACACACATCTTTCAGGATTGCCATTACTTACATGAAGATAGACTCCTAACATTTTAAAACTATTAGGAATTGTGCTCATTGAGAGAAATCCAATACTTACAATGCTAAATATTCAAGCTATTGAGGAAATAGTTGGAAAAATTGGAAAAGAGATTTGTTTCTTTCTGTTCCTTTTCAAAGGCAGAATGAAAACAGAGGTGCGAAGTTTACAACTGTGTTTCTTGGTTCCATATCGAAAGGTCTTGGAATCACAAGTTGATGTAATTTTATAGTGCATATCATTCCCATCACTTTGGGTACTTTGGGAGGTGTTTCCTCCTGTCTAGGTCTGTTAACATGTTTACGCAGCCTGCCATCTGAGAAGGAATTTTCCCTGGCGGCCATGACCTAATTTCAAGGTTCTGGCAGCTGAATGCAGGCAACTGACAGCCAAGCTTTTCCTACTTAGCATATTAATCGCCTCCATTTTTAGCGTGCAGCCATGATAAGAGGAAGCCAGTGACGGATTCACCAGCTTTTCTGAAAATCAGGCTGATAGAACACCCTGTGCACCTCTGTAAACCTCAGACTTTCCACACATACATTTTTTGCGGGCATCTCTGTTTCCAGTTTCTGGCTCTTGTTCAGACTTGAACATATGCTATATATAGTGGCAAGTGGTTGGATTCTAGAAGCTGTCAAACTTTACTAGCTCAGATAAAAATCGGCCTGTTGCTTTTTTGTTGATTACCTTTTCTTCCCCTTTAATTCCTGTTTATACTTGTTCCTGTAATCTAAGGAAGAAGATTTCATTTTTCTCTAGAAGGAGATGCTTATGCAGAGCCAAATGAACCATTGTGCTGTTCTATTTTCTGATGATATGCATAAGAAGAGAAAATCTTACTGATTTAGCATTCAGTAAGAGTAAAATGATAAAATATTTAAATAAATATTTCAGTGTTTGAAAATATTATAGAATCTATTGTTTGGGAAAATCTTTGGGCTTATCTGAAATAACTTTCTATTTTATTTCTTTATAAACTTGACAAATGTTTTTTTTTTTTTGCATTACAGGTCATAAGAAATGAAACAGACTGCTGTTTTCACAAGGTAATATTGTTCCTCATCTCACTCTGTTTACTTTTAGTTATCTTTCTTTCTTTGGATGGCATGAATTTTGGCCAAAACACTTTTTTTTTTCCCAAGTGGTTGTAGGCTGCTAACACTATCAAAAAGGAAATTTAATAATAAATATATTGGTATTTTTAATTATCACATTGGAATTTTCGTTTTTCTTTGAGATTTTAGCTAAAAGTCAGTGATAAATATGATGAAAAAAACAAAGGGTGGTTCTGAAAAATCATGTGATTTTATTTTCCTGTATGTCTTGGGTTCTTTTCTGACTGTGCGATAGTTTTTCTTAGAGGCATTTACAGAGGGACGTAAGGACCCTCACCAAATAGGGCTAATTTGAAGAAGGACACAGCTGGCTTAGTAGAAAGAAGGCAGAAGAATTGTCTCCTGGTAGTCAAGACTCTGAAAATAAGACTTAGGATAAAAGATTGGATACATGCAAGAATAGAGTTCTTAAAGATCACCAGCTGAAGTTTGTGATTTTTCATTCTTCTCTGCCCTAAGACAGCCATATTTTACCATTTGAAACATAAATAAAAATGACTTCCAGGCTTATTTGATTACAGACTGAATTACTCTATCATAGGATGACAAGAAATGACAGATAGGTTTCCCATAATGAAAAGTCTGTGAGACTCCATATTTCCTGTAAAAAATGATATGAGGAAACCAGGCAGATTTTTCTTTCATTCATACTCTTTCATATGTGCGCAATAGTACTGTCAATCTCTATGATATCATTAGGTTACCTGGAAGGTCTTACATTTGGCAGGAGAATGTAAGTTTTAGGGTAATTTTTCTGAGTAGCAACCCAAGGCCAATGTAGTAAATTTTGAAAGATCAATTACATTACAGAAAAGGGTTGCATAACATAAATGTGTTCTGCCCACTTGTCATCATGGGTCTTAGACATTAATATCGTAATAAGTGCAATGACAGAATTTCATTTTCAGACTCTAGACTTCCTAACAGTAGCAGTGTCGAGGCATCAAACCTGTCAGTTTTGCTTCTTTAATAGTTTCTGTAAAACTTGACAGCCTTTCTGTACATTGCAAATACTCTAAAACCACCTTGACTTTATACATTAGCTAAATTGCCTGGGAACTTTTTCTAGATACAACTAATTCCTGAAGGTAGAGAAGACAGTGTGAGGATCGCAAAGAGCACGGATGCAGTTCTTCGAGGTAAAAGGCTGTTTTACTCACATTTGTGATGTCCTGTTTGTCATGTAAAAGAAAGGCAATAGATGCTTCACTGAATGAATGTATAAAGCTGTGAGCTAAGAAGTTTCTCTGGAGAAAAAGATGAAAAGTCTGAATTCTTCTTGTGCACCTCAAGTGATAGTCACTGTTAAGTAAACCTGAGTGGCATGAAAGTGTAGGGTCAAGGATGATAAAAGGGACATTTTAATATTGTATTTAAATAGGAGGCACCATTGCGTAATATTTTCAGTTTAAAATCAAAAAAGAAAATGACTTTTCTGCCAAAGACAAAAGTGTAAATCTGTTTCCTTCTCCACCATATGCCACAAATAATAATAATTAAAAAAAAAATCACAGATGTCAAAGAGAACACAGGCTGGAGGAAGCCAACCAGCTACAAGGACCAGTAAATAGTCGAAACCCATTCTTAGCTCAACAGTAAAGCAAAATCCAATATTTAATAAGCATAGCAGAGAGGAGGAGAGTTGTAAGATATGCACTTAAACTTTACCTGCATGCACATATGTCTTCAGACCTTCAGATTTGCTCTCACTCCTGAATCCAAAGTTCTGTTCTCAACATATTTTTTGTATTGTTCTAATTTTTCCTCTAGAACTTACGTCAAGCATCATGCATTCTTCCCTGATTTTTTTTTTTGGAGCAATCTTCTCAAGTCCTCCCGAGAGCATATTTACATATGTCTCTCTCTCTCCATTTGCTTTCACTCCAGTTAGAATTTGAGAGCCCAACAGGATTATATCTTGTTTGTAATAGGCGCTATAGCTTCTAGCACACCATTTGATACATAAAGGTAATAAACAAATATTTATTAAGTAGATGTTAATTAAAGCAAAATCCAAAACTTGGTAACAAAAACACATTATCAAATAAATGAACATCTCCCAGCAGGCAAAGAGGACATAACAATCATTGAAAACATGACAAGTCTAGGAAAAGAAACCAGAAGAGAAGAAAAATGAAAATCTTCTGTATTCCCATATTTGATTTTTCCAATTTGTACAGCTGATAAACTATCCAGTCTAAAGGCAGTGTCATTGTTAGTGCATTAAAATATTGTAATCCCAGCACTTTGGGAGGCCGAGGCGGGTAGATCACCTGAGGTCAGGAGTTCAAGACCAGCCTGACCAACATGGCAAAACCCCGTCTCTACTAAAAATACAAAAATTAGCTGGGTGTGGTGGTGGACACCTGAAATCCCAGCTACTTGGGAGGCTGAGGAAAGAGAATCGCTTGAACTCAAAGAGATTCCAGTGAGCTGAGGCAGTGCCATTGCACTCCAGCCTGGGCAACAAGAGCAAAACTCCACCTCAAACAAACAAACAAACAAAAACATAAAATAAGGCTAACTGAGGACTTTATCTATCTTATTTAACATATAAAATATATTAATGTGAAGTTGTCCATAATAACTTGTGATTTTTTAAAACTGAAGCATCTATATCAGGTTACTTTGTTCTACTTCTCTTTTCTTTACTAGTTTCATCAGTAGTGTATCACTGTTATGAGTCTTTTCAAATAATCAAATTTTTACTTTGATTATTTCTATTGTATGTTTATTAACAATTCATTAACATTACTTCTTATTTCTTTCCATTTTCTTTGAACTAAATTTGTTGCTATACTTTCAATTTTTGAGACAAATACATAGAACATTCCATTTAAGCATTTCTTCTTTACTAATATACATATTTAAGTCTAGAAAAATTCCTCTGAGCACAGACTTAGCTGCATCCACAGGTTTTGATTCAGTTTTAAAATTTCCCTTTTTTATTCATATGTATTTAGATATACATTATAAATTATGAACCATTGGCTACTTTCTAGCCACTTATACTGAGTTTGAGCTTAATTCTAATATAGCCAGAGAACACAACCTTTTTAGTTAACTCTTGGAAATCTGTTGACACTTGCTTTTTTCTTTCCAATTTTCTTATGTGATTTCTTGAAAAGATTGTGTAATGTAGTCTTTGAGTATTTAAAGGTTTAATATAGGTTAGGTCAAAACTGATTTATATTATTACTTTTTTTGTCTGCTTATTCTATCAGTTACTGATAAAAAGCATGTTATCATTTTCCTTTATGATTATGGTTTTGTCTATTATTTTTTCTTAATGCTTTCAAATTTTCATATAATTAGAACTATGTGATAGTTTTCTGGCTGACTGGTGACTTCATCATTATGAAACATTTTTATTTGTTTTTCATAATGATTTTTGCTTTGGATTCTTCTTTGATGCAAGTATATCTAGGCCAGCATTTTTTGTTGTTTTGTTTGTTGTTAGTATTTGCATAGTATATCATTTTTGATCTTTCTATATCCTTATATTAAAGGTGTATACCTCATAAACAAAGCTGAGAGCTTTTTTGGTGTTTGTCTTTGTAATGGGCTGAATTGCCTCTTACAAAAATTCATGTTGAAGCTTTAACCCCCAGTACCTCAAAAGGTGATTGCATTTGGAGATAGGGTCTTTAAAACGGTAATTAAATCAAAATGAGGTTATTAGGCTGGGCTGTAATCCAATATGACTTGTGCGCCTATAATAAGAGAAAATTTGGGCACAAAGGGAAGACCATGTGAAGACATAGAAGGTAACTGTCTATCAGCTGTGGAGAGAGGCCTTAGAAGTCTAAGTCTAAGCCTCACTTCATAGCTTATGTCTTAATCTTGGACTTCTAACCGCCAGAACTTTGAGAAATAAATTTGTGTTGTAAAAACCACCTAGTCTGTAGTGCTTTGTCATGGCAGCCTTAGCAGACTAATAAAGTCTTCTAACTGGATTATTTGTTTTTCATTCAGAATGTGTAGACTAAGATAATTACTAATGTATTTGGTATGAATTTGCTATCTTGTTTTCTATATTTCATAGACTTTTTCTAGGTTTCTTTGAGTTAATAATATTTATTTTACTTTTCTCCTCTATTAGGTTATTAATTACATAACACTTTACTCTTTGTTTACTGACCACCCAAAACAGCACTTCTTCTTGACTCAAAGTCTAACATACTAATACTTTTATAACCTACCAACAATGCTAGGACCTTAGAATCTCTCTCACCTTTTATGATGTTACTGCCATACATTTTATTTCTCAATTTATATAAACCCCTCTATTACTGTTGTTTTATAAGGTCAATATTCTTTTAGATTTGCTCACATATTTACACTCTCCTTTATTCTTTATTTTTTTCTGCTCCACTGTTATTTTTGGAAGCATTTTCATTTTGTGTGTGAGATTCTATTGCCTGAACTGCTGTAATAGTTTTCTAACTGAGCTGTCTGCTTGTACCCTTTGCCATACTCTCCATAGCTTATTTTCAGCATAGGAGTCAGGATGATTTCCATAAAACATAAAATCATGTGACTCCTCGGCCTATTGCACTCAGAGTAAAAATTTAAGTTCTTTTTGAACTACAAGGCCCTTCATGTTTTAGAATCCTTCTGTGTCCCTGACCTTGTATGCCTTTCTCCTTTTTATGCATTGGGCACAGTCTGTTTTCTATCTAACAGTCATGCTCCCACTTCAAGGCTGTTGCACTGCCTGGAATGCTTTCCCTTAGTGAATCTGAAAATCTCTTCCCTTCATCTTCTTCTTGTTCTGCTTATAACCATTTTAGCGAAATGCGTTGACTAAATGTATTACCCGCTGTTTAGTAAAAAACAATTAAAAGCTGATATCGGAACATTTAGATCACTATACATTAGTGTTTTTTATGTTATGAACTGTTTCCAAAACTCCCATGCTGTAGGTCCATTTATTTTCAATAAATCATTTATTCCTTTTCATCAAATTCCAAGGTAAAGAACTCATAATTGTTATAAATTTGCCACATTTAGATACTTTCCTGAATACTATTTGAATTTTGGTGCTCAGTGGGCACAAAACAGGAAAGTAGTATTTCTTACTTAGTAAATACACATAAAGTTTATTTTTGCCAGGGTAAATTAGATGTTAGATTTATAACCCTGGCACCAATTGTCTATAATTAAGGTAAGGAACATTAATTGAGCAACTTCTATGAACGAGGCATTTCTTCAAGTATTTTTATTTAAGTAATTCTATTTAATTATGTTAACAACCCTTTGATATGTTTATTCCTCTTTGAGAAATACTATTTCTGCTTTATAGACGAGAAATTCTGACTTAATAATTAACTATCTGTGCCTTCTGGCATGTCTACTTCTTATTTTTCTGTTCTGTACATGAAAGTTGGTGGTTAACCTCTCAGATTCTGAGTTTAGAGGATAGAAAATCAACCATTTGCCATAAAAGTAACTTTGGGCCGGTCAATTTATCTCCTCAGGCCAGGGTTTCCTCTTCTGCAAACAGTAAGGACTGTAATAACTGTAATTTTTATAAAGCAATCTTTCTGATTCCACTGAACCAGATCAGAGTAGAGGCAAAAGCATTCAGACTTTGCCTCTAATGTTTCATTGAAACTTACTTTTTTCTTTGCTAACTTCGTCTGGCTGCTATGAGCCTTCCAATTTCCCCTAAAGGCCAGAGAAAATATTGGTGGAGAATGGGCAACAAATGATTGTATTTGGAGTTTCCATACACAGGAAATTCATTTTTTGATTAAGAAGTAATTATTCTATATAAAATCAGACTGCCAGAACTTGAATAATTATAGCAAACAAATTCCAGCACTTTTAACCATTTAAAAATAGCTTTTTGCCCACCATAATGTTTTATTTTAGCCTTTAAGCAATTCTATGAGGTAGAAATCATCATTATTGTCATATTGTAGATGAGCAAACAGGTTCAGTAAAATATCTGTGCAAGACTTCACTGTTGCAAAACTCCAAATATATCATTTTTCTTTTCCACTTGGCTACTAATAAAGATAATGAGAGACTGCTATTTATTTGTCTGATTGTAATTGACATGGAAAGTAAGACAATAAGTAAGGTAGTGTAGCAATTTTCTTTAGAGAATACAGAGATTTGATTGAGCTTTCCT